CCATAGGGAATCAACAATGGCTGTAACTGTCAGAAGGAGATCCACCCCCTCCCTAGATGCCATACCGCTATCCTCTGAACCTATGATCAGACCACTGGCCCTAGACTAGCAATGTTAGTGAAACACCAGAGCACCACAGGCATCCAATCGCATTTTACCTCCATAGCTATCATTCCAGCCAGTGTTTCTCTGGATAAGCTGGTCCCTTACAGCAGGGGTTGGGGATGGTACTTCTTGTTTGCCAGCCCACACACTGGAAGGTTAGGCATCTATCTGTTCCAGTCTGGCAGTGGCCCACGCATGGCACTGGTTCCCAGACTGGTCTTACTGGCTGGTATGGCCTTCTACCTCTGGTCTGTGAATGGTGCTGACTCACGGGGAGAGGCTGGGGTCTGTCTGTTGCAGTCTGGTGGTGGCCCACCCCGCTCTCAGTTATACTTATATGACTAGCTGGGTCTTCTAAGGAACATCTTTGTCTTTCTTTCTTTGAGGCCATTTTATTGTACAAATGAAATAGACAGTGTTGACCCACTTCAGAGAGAAATAGGTCCCCATTATTCCATAGCTGGATGTCTTTAGTTTGAGATGAGACAGTTTTCTCACCCGCCCCCATCCATGGTCTGAACTTTATATGGACTGTGGACCTTATCAGCAACTTAGAGATTGTCGTAGTCAGTGGTGGCAACGAGAACAAGACAGCACAGGACACATAATTTATAGTATTATTTATAAGGTCACCCACAGAGTCAAATACAGAGAAAGTGCAGGAAATCTGTCTATGCCCTAACGACCTAGAAAATCAAATCCCACAACAATATCCTGCATGAGTCCAGCTGAAGATCTAGAGCCCATGACAGTTCCCCCCATGAGCCCAACTGGAGGGCTAGACCTCATGACAATGACTCGTGCAAGTCTGTTTCATGGATCTGTGCTGGGAAGGCCCTAAGATCAGCAGTGGAAGCTAGAAAGTCTGTGCCAGCGGGGTGAAGGGTCTGTGCCAGTAGGTTGAGGGTTCTGCACTGGAGCCAAGAAGCAATGCTCAAACTAAGGACCAGGGATCCCCTAAAATGTGCCACAGCCATCCTTTGTGACAATGAGGTCCCAAGATCCTCTGATGAGAACAGCCGAGTCCATATAAGGAAGCCAGAGTGACAAGCTTCTCCTGGAGACTGAGCAGCACACATCTTCCCCTCCAGAGCCAGGAAGCAATGCTCAAAGTAAGGACTAGAGCTCCCCAAAGTGAGCCACAGCCATTCTCATCACCAAGGTCCCGGTCTCCTCTGATGACAAGAGTTGAGTTCATATGAGGGAAGGCAGCATGACAAGCTCCTTCAGGAGAACCAATGGCTTCAAGTAATACTAAAGCAGAATCCACAACACTCTGCTCTTCCTCTTTACGTCTCCTTTTTATGCTGGCAATAGTCCTCTACACTCAGTGCAGTACAGGACACAGAATTTGGTTCAACTGGTTTTTAAGTTGATCATCAGTTTTCAGTGTCCACAACAGAGATGCTACCATTCTCTTGAGCTAAAGTTTGAAACCAGAAATTCGTGTTTTTTTTTTTTCTTTGTGGGTGGGTGGGGGACAGGGATCTGGGAATCCAACTCAGGACCCCATGCTTGCAGGGCAGGCGCTGCACCACTGAGCTAAAATTCTCGGCCCCTCATGTAGATCTTATTTAGAGCTAATGAAGTTTTCTTTCCTTTTCAAAAAGACTCCAGCCACCAGTCCCAGCCTGCTCATGACTTTCTGCCTAATATGACTGCATTCAACACAGCTTTGAGAGAAATTATAGCTTTTTTTCCCCTCATAAATGCTGCTGAATTTGTTCCTGAACTTTCTAGACTAGTATGTTATCACTGAATATTTTTGCATCACAGAGATAGAACAGGTGCTGATTGGAGACTTTTATGTGGAGATAAATATAAACGACCCTATTCGGCTTACCAAGAAAGGGTGAAAATCTAGGCATCCATGTCAAAGGAAGAGTAATTAATGCAAAATTTCAATGACACAGAAAAAAAATATTTGTAAGGAAAATTAATATCATGGGTCTACCACGTGAGATTTTTCCATTGACCAAAGTGAATGAATGTGGAAGGGAACAGGGAACTCCAGCTTTCAACGTGATTGATAGTTACATAATTCTAAAATATGTGTTTTTTTAAAAGCCATTAATATAGTACTATAATAATTTATTTTCAAATGTTAACCATAAATTTTTTATAAAAAACTAATTTTTAGGAAAAAAGAATTATAAAGAGAATTGATACTAAGTAGATTCCATTTCATGTATTTTGTAAGCATGTGTAATATAGAGACAGTTACATATTTGTCCTTTCTTAGGAATACTCCCATCTGTCTGTCTGTCTGTCTGTCTGTCTCTCTCTCTCTCTCTCTCTCTCTCTTTCTCTCTCTCTCTTTGAGATAGGGTCTCATTATGTAGTTCAGGCTGGTCTTCAATTTACTCTCTAGTCCTGGCTAGTCTCAAACTTGTGGAGATCCTCCTGCCTCAGCTGGGATTGTAGGCATGTGCCACACACCAGCTTTCTTCTCCCTCTCCCTCTCCCTCTTCCTTTCCCTCTCCCTCTCCCTCACTCTCTTCCTCTCCTTCTCCCCCTCCTCCTCCCTTTTTTTAAACCAGCTTCTTTCTTAGAAATATACTAATGCTATGAGTAGATTAAGCACAAATATACAATACAGTCAGATATAAATGCCATGTTTGAATAAGACTGTGCTTAAATTTAAAACATTACTAGTCAAGTGTGGTGACACAAACCTATAGTCCCAGGAAACTGAGGCAAAAGGATTGCAAGTTGGAGGCTTAGTGAGACCTTGTCTCGAAATCAGACAAAAAGGGCTGGGGATACAGCTCAGTGGTAAAGCCCTTGCCAGCATGTGGTAGGCCATGGGTTTAAAGCCCTATATCATGTTTTTAAAAATTCCTGTGCTTTTGGGAGCTATAGGTAGTCTGGGATTTCTCTTAACTCTTGATCTAAATTGAAGTTGTCAAATTAATATTTGATTCATAATCTCAAAGAGCCTGTAGATCTTACAGAGAATATTATTTCAGATAAAAGGAATTCATATGTGTAGGGAGCTATGGGAAACCAGATTTAGTTTGGAAACCCATGTGTTTGAGCTGTGATATGTCACAGATCATGAGCCTCGTTTGAAACTTTCTATTCCTCATGTCTTTTTTCCTTCTTTCTTTGCCCCTTTGATCTTGAGACCTCAGTTTGCCCGTGCTGCCCATGGACGAGCTGTGGGGACAGACAACAGGTCTACCTCAAAGTGTATACTCTGGCTTCTGAACAGACAAGCAGGTTGTCTCCGCTCACCAGTAAAGCAGAAGAGGTGGAGAAACAAGTGAACTCATCACAGAGCGGACTGGAAGCAGGGAATCAATGTCAGGGATCCCTTCTTCTCTTTAAATTATTTAAAGTTAGGGTGCTGTAGAAATTTCACATCGCATACACACATATCCATATGGTTACAAGAATTTGTTCAGACTAGGAACATGAATGTAGATTTCAAGATTGGTTGAAAGAATTGAATATAATCTGAAAGGAAACATCACACTGTGTTTATCTTTCTGTTGTAAACCTAATGTTTCTAAAACTTTTTCCTAGTTTTCAGATAACAAAGTCCCTGTATTTTAACTGGAATGAATGATGAAAATCTTGTTGCTTAGCTGGGCAGGGAAAAGCCTATTTATATTGAGAGTTTTAAAATAAGCCCATGTGCTAAACTACTATTTTTAAGAGCTTAGGCATGTTTTGTAGAGCAGCTCTAGGATATCAGAGATCTCCCCGGGCACACCAAGTTTTAGCCTTTGAGCTTAGTCCATCTGTCTGCAGTGTAGCTGCTGATCGGGTATGTTTCTCAGGCGTCACCAAATAGCTCTCGGGTACTTCCTGTGGGGAATTAGGATCCTTGCAACTGCTACCTTCTTTCTTCATTTTACCCCAAAAAGTGGTTTAAATTTTTTTATTTTGAAGTTAATCTGTTTTATCTCAATTCTTTGAGCTCTCATTGCCGTAGATAACTGACATTAAGAAGATACCACTTTTGCAGAAAGGAGCTATGGAAAAATAGAATTCCGTATCATTATAAAAAGCATCACCTTCTTCCTGTCCTCACCCTTGCCTTTTCCTCAGTCCATTTCGAGCCCCCTTTAGGGATATTTCTGCACACTGTAATGTTCAGCTGATTCTTGGCAAGATTTGAGGTTTGAATTTTTAGATAAATAAACTTTTTATTTTAGGACAATTGTAGAGTCACAGAATTTTGCCAGTGATTCCTCATACCTCATGACCAACCTCCTTTGTAGTTAATATTTTGCAACAGTATGATATATTTGTTACAATTAGTGAGCCAATATTTTCTTGTTGTCCTTGTTATTGTTATCTTTTTTTGTTTTGTTTTATTTTTGGTACCAGCAACTGAACTCATGACCTCACTCTTTCCAGGCAGGAACTGAACAATGTCCTGGCCCTCGCAAGCCAATATTGATACTTTTTTATTGATGAAAATTCATGCTTTATTCCAATTTCCTGTTTTTCCTTAATGTTCTCTTTTTGTCCCAAGATTCCACCCAGGATTTATTTTCCATGTCTCCTTAGACCTTTCTTGGTTGCAACAATTTTTCACATTTCCTTGTTTTTGGTAACTTTAATAGTTTTAAAGATTACTAGTTAGGAGTTTTATAAAATTGGAGTCTGTCTGATGCTTTACTCGAAATACCCTGGAGTGTATTAGTTTTTAGGGAAGAAAATCACAAAGATAAATTGCCCTTCTTACCAGTTTTCACCATTTCTTGAAGATCAACCAAGTGTTTTCCAGAAGGTCTTATTAACATAGTCATTAAAGCTATAAGAAAGCTGGGGTTGGTCCATTTGTTTGTGTTTACTGGCACAGTTGTAAAACATGTAAGAATTCAGACAAAACTATCTTTGCTGATAGTAAAGAATATCTTCTCTTTTTTCATATGTTGTAGGTGGGAATGAGATCCCGAAACCAAAGTGGAGAAAGTTCCTCAAACGGGCACATCTCCGGCCCCAAGACCTCCAACACCAGCAATGCCGAAGAGAAAAATCTCTCGGAGGAGGCAAAAAAGAAGAACAAATCAAATAGGAAGGAGGAGGACGTCATGGCTTCAGGAACAGTCAAACGGCACCTAAAATCATCTGGTGAAAGTGAACGAAAAACTAAGAGATGTCTGGAGTTTTCCAAAGAAGAACTCATCCAGCTACTCAGCGTCATGGAAGGGGAGCTGCAGGTAGAGTCACACTTTCGGTTACTGTTTTTCTAGTTGCTAAGCAATTAGAAAAGAGATTATGAATCTATCCTCCTCACTGCACTGCAGACTTCATGGGGACAAGGAATAAATATGCTTTCTTTATGATATGATTTTGGTAATAATTTAAGATAGATCTCTGTACTAGTAGGCAATCAATCAGATTTACTAATTCAGACATCAACTAGGTTGAAAAATGTGTTAAAAAAAAGTATTAAAATAGCCTGGTGAGATCGATTGTTTTGCTTTTTTCTGGCAGGTGGAGGAAAAGAAAGCTAGCAGGAAAAGGGGCAGGAGAGGAAGGAGGCTTTGTTGAAGTTAGAATTATTGCTGAGTCTGCTCTCAGCTTATCATAACTTCCAGCCTCAGTTTTGTACAGTATTATAGAAGTCAAAATGTACAGGAGGAGAAAACCATACGGGAAGAACCTGAGAGTTTCTCAAAGCATTTCAGGTCTCTTAACTCACTGGACCTCAGGAAAATGCAGCAATCAATATGTGTATTTTATAACCGAGGATACTGAGGTCCAGAGCTGAATGTGGATTATCCTGCTCACACTCCAGGCTTCCTGATTCTTCCGATTCTAGGTCTAGTGGTCCCAATTCTCGGTCTAAGGCCCAACCTTATCTTAGTTGCTATGAGCTGTGTCCCTATCAGGTAGTCTGTCTTTTGAGGGATACAGTTCAAATTCTTTTGAGTTTCTGAGTTCTATAGGAAATTGTATTTCTGGCAGTCGGGGAATAATACCTATTTTCTTTCTCTCTCTCTCTCTCTCTCTCTCTCTCTCTCTCTCTCTCTCTCTCTCTCTCTCTCTCTCTCTCTTTGAGACCGGGTCTTGCTATTAGTTTAGGCTGGCCTTGAACCCATAGCAATCCCCCTGCTTCAGCCTTCAGAGTGCTGAGATTACAGGCATGTGCCACCATGCCTGGCTAACGGGACTTTTTTTTTTAAAGGACACTATGAGTTTAGAGTGGAGTCACTGTTTTCCTTTTAGCTTTTATTGGGTTTTTAGCTTGCACAAGCCGCCAGGGGAGGGTGCCAGTTGTGTGACATGGAGCCTTCTTGGCTTTGCAGGACCACCTCCCCAGCTCGGGAGAGGCCATGCTGCTCCTTTCTCTGCTGTGTGGGTACACATGAAAAAGCCTCTGGGGAAAAGAAATAGAAAACACACAAAACTCAAATCTGAAGAAACAAACAAATGTGATGGAGTGTAGAGAGAGCAAAATCACACTTGTATTTCACAGCAGAAAGGTAAAATTTTCCAGAGTGCCACCATTTCTAAAAATAGCTTCCCCACTCTCAGGAAGGTGATTAGTGTTTTATCTGTTAACATTTACTGTATACAGAAGCAGGATTACTCCACCTCTTTAAATGGCCTCCAGCTGACAGCTCTCATGAACACAAGTGAAAGGCACAGCTGTTGATGCAGTAGAAAGACGTCAAAGCAACATCTGCAGCTTCTTTGCAGTCAGGAGAGCTGTTTTGAAGCCCATGGCTCCTACAGATGCTGCTTGTGCATAAAGCTGGTGTAGATAATGGATAGCACAACATATTTAAAATTCATGTGGCTTTTAGGTGTACAGTGGCGCTAGATAAGGTTCTAGGCTTGTTATGTAACATATGAGCTTACACATCAGAATAACTGAAGAAATTAGCTAGGAGGCTCCAAAGAAAGCATTTTGTTTTTTCATTAATGTTTATAAATACAGGACATCTTCCTTGCACAATAGTTGTCTTTTGTAGCAGCTATAAATAAGTAAAAAGTGTGGAATATCACTTGTAGGGGAGACAGTGAAGAGGATGAGAAATAAATGAAGAAACTGGTATTTTAAGGAATCTTGTGATGAGTTCATTTGCAAAGCAAATACTCTGTCACACACACACATTTGTAGATGCAGATTTCGCAGCTTAAATTTGTCTAGAATGAAATTGTACCTATATTTAGAGTAGCAGAGATGTGTTTTTGTAGTAGGCACTTGTCCTGTGATGGTGGCACTGTGGGGAGACTGTCATAGTGAGAGTGGGAGGCAGATCACTTCAGCAACTGTGTGGGCTGCTGGCTGGGCCAAAGGTGGTAGCCGTGTGCTGGGTTTGTTGGACAAAAGAGCAGGGAGGGAATCTGAAAGGCTGGTGCTGGGAGGAGAGGCAGGAGAAGACTTCAGCCATGCCCACATGCCCTCTGGCTTGGCCTATGTGGGACACTTAATGAATTGTTGCTCAGGTCTCCATTGGCTTCCTGTTGCCCTCTTCTTACAGGAGGATGTGTATGACTCAAATTCCTTCTTTGGAAGTGGTGTTCCAGGGTTCTATAAGATAGTGGGATGGTAAAACACTTCTGAGGTGACTTCTCAGCTCCATCGCCCTTATATTAAAGCAGGCCAAATAACTCACTCTGCGTGGTGCAGGAGGACGATTCCAGTCACACTCTGTCTAAGTCCTTGGTCTCATTGTCTAGCATCTTTCCTGTTGTCCCTGCTACATTCTGGGGATGTTAAAATATAACTGGACCTCAGAATCTCTATATTCATTCTCGGTCTCCAGAATTTTCTCTACATAGATTCACACTGTAAACTCGTAAGCCAAAACCATTTTGGGGAAAGGTGAGACTCTTTAGATAAGAGACATTAAAGTCTTGTGCATCAGGGAGGTGTAATGGGATTAGAGCCTGAAAGTTGGCTGTGATCCAAAGGATAAGAGGAATGGGGGGAAGATGGGGTCCATGTGGTTACTTGTGTTGGCTGCACAGCTTTGGGGCTTCAAATCATTGCTGTCTGGGTGTTATACCCTGAATTAGTACAGCAGGCATCCTTGGGGAGACCACTTCTACAGGTCAATAGGAGTTCGGGAATGCACAGAAGAAAGGGTGTATCGTACTAGGAAGATAGGACCAAGGTCAAGTTTGCCCAAAGGAGATCTACTTTGACTGTGACTTGGGAAAAAGGCAGAGATATAGAGGCTTGCCTTGTTAAGTTGTTAAGTTTCTTCCCAGAATTTCTTATTGATTTCTCTAATTCTCTGCAAATTCAATTCACTGTTTTGGACATTGAAGATAGTTCTGTGTGTTTTCTTGGGGTATCAGTGTCCTGCCACCTTTGGAATATCTTGATTGATCGATGAGAACTTGTTGAAACAACATTCTCAACAGCCAGGTGTATTGATGTACACCTGAAATACCAGCATTCTGGCAGGCTGAGGCAGGAGGATTGAAAAGTCAAGCCTGATTTAGCAACTCAGCGAGACCCTTTCTCAATTTTAAAAAAATTTTGAAAAGGCTTGGAGATGTAGCTCAGTGCAAAGATCCTGAGTTCAATCTCCACCCCATCCCAAAAAGGAAAAAACTAAAAACAGCCTGATTCCAGGGTTAGCTTTGGCTCTTTTCAAAATTTGCAAGTTTGCTGTTTTGCTTGCCAACCCGAGTATTCCACGAGCTCTTTAATTGCATCTTTAAGGGATATGCATTAGAAATGGCAGTGAACCACACCAGGAAATTTTGCATTTTTAAGTCTTGTTTAGAACTGGTAACGCCATGGACCTTGTCTTGGAGAGGGACCTCCTCCAGATTTTCATGGCACACCTTGGCAGATCCAGGCTACCGCTCTCAGTGGAACGACTGGCCAGTGTTGCTTGCATAGAAGTAGCTGTGTTTCCATTATTACACTTCTGTCATTGACTGCTTCCAATAATAAGTACTTTCTAATAAACTGAAACATTTTACTCTGGCTGAAAAACTGTTTACATATTTCCCAGACTAAACCAAAAGTAATGAAATCATGTACCCATACCATCACGTGGGCCCCATGATTAATTTCCTCTTGTGTTTGCTCAAAAATAGCACTTTTAAAAAGTCAGTCAGGGTAGCTGTTCTAAAAACAAATCTTCAAAGGAAATGGTACTTAGTACATCGAAAAACTGTAACACAGAAGACTTAGGGAAAGCATATTGTAAAATGATTCAAGAATGAAGTATGATTTAATTCTTTTTCTTGATGCACAAAAAATTAGCCCTTTTGTATAGTAAACTCCTCTAGTGTATCCATTTAAATGTATTTTAGAAAAATCGACCTCAAATTGGGTTTCATCATTTCTCCTTTTGTTTTTCTAGTTAGCTGTCTTCTGCACAAGAAAAAGCACAAGAAAAACTCTGGGTAACACACTGAGTTTCCAAGGGCTTTGCTGTTTCCGGGGCTAAGTCAGGCACAAGGTTGTAGACACACTGAGAAGTCTCTCTCCATCCTGCGGGACTGGTAGAGGTGCTGTACTTCCAAGATAATTTGTAAAATAGACTGTAGGCCTGTGAGTTGTTAAAAGCCACTTTATTCTGTCCTTTTGGGTTCTTAGCTTCACCTGTCTTCTTCCACCTCACCACTGCCTGCTACAAGTGAGCTTTCTCTTCACACTTTCTCTCACTGAGCATATTCTTTCATTTAATTAATCAACAATGAATTGATTGAAATAGATTGTTCTTACTGTGTTTAAGAAATATGATTATTATGCAAGAGGTTTAAGGAATGTAAAGATCAACAAAAATACCTGTAGCTAAAATGTATATTTTAGGGAAAAATAAGAGATAGGACTAGTATAAACACAAGTCTTGAATTTTCCCAGAAAGCCCCAGTTTCTGCCTTTAGGGATTTTCAACGTGAAAGAAACATAAAGAAATACTAGAAGAAAATTCCAACAGGAGTGCAGACAGTGTTTGAGTTTGTATGTGTGAGTGTTAGGAGCAGGGTACATAGGACTGCCTAACTAGATAGGGATGGTCATTTAAAGGAATTCTAAGGTGAGTTTTCACAGCTAAAAGGACCTAGTTAAAAGTTTTCCAAATCAGTCTGAGCAATTTAAATTTCAGTTGAGTAGAATCTACAGACATCTTGTAAGTTTCTAAGCAACTGCATTTCAGGGAATAACTGAAAGCAGTTATTCACTGAGTTTCTAGTTCCAAACCCTCGTGTTTGTCAAATCATACAGACTTGGTCTGCCTTCCAAATCCGGCCATTATTGTAGGAGATTTCAACAGGTAATAGGAGATCAGCTAATATCCTAATTTCAGCATTCCTTGGCCTCACTAATTCTAATTACCTTCATTGTCTATTCTCAAAATTACACCCAAAACCTTTATAATGATTGAAAATATTTACGATGATAACTGTAAATCATCACGGGAAGTGAGGCTGCCCAGGGAAACCTTGCACTACTAAAATGTTTGGTGTACTGGGAAAAGTATGTGTTTGCTAAGTTTAGGAGGAAGCAGAACAGACAGGAACTGCTTTCTGATTAAAGTTAGTTCAAATCTGATTCTCTGCTGAGAATAATGCTTCAGAGTTTCAGGTGTCCAATAATATTGCCTGTATTTTGACAAAGATTTGGTGCCTGACTTTCATTATTTCAAGTAGAATATTTTTAGCGTTCCTGATGGAATCAGAAAGTTAGCTTCACTGTAATAAGATTAATATACTTATTGGCAATGCAAAGAAAAACCTTGGTTTGTGAAAAATAGAGTATTTTTATTACTCTATGGAACTTTTGGAAGTGGGAAACACACATAGCAGTAACACATGAAAGGTAGAGATTCTTTTCTTAATAGCTGTACCTTGTGTTATTCTCAGAGAAAATGACTTCAGTAAACAAAACTATATCTAAATATTCCAGCTTGTCTATGTATCTATTTCTTAGTTATTTGTGAGTGTGCTTTTGTTATATGCAGTCATCTTCAAATCAAAGTAGAGTTTGTACACATAAGTGTTCTAAGCAATACATACTGAATGGAGTAAGATTTGAAACACGATAAGCTCGTGGGTCCAGGATGACTTCTCTAGCACAGATGTCAGGCAGAATCTAAACCTGAAGTTTGACAAGAAGTAAGATCTGAACCTGTGCTGTTCAATGGAACTTTTTTTTGTTCCAGGGGTTGAACTCACAACCTTGTGCTTGCCAGGCAGGTGCTTATACCACTGAGCTAAATCCCTGGCCTCAATGGAACATTTTGGGGGAAAAAAAAGTTCGATATTTACTCCAGCCTACCTGGTAGTCAGTAGCCACACGTGGCTTGTGAACATTTGAAATGTGGATAATTAGGCTGAATTTTGAATTTTACTGAGTGCTGATGAATTGAAACCTAAACGGCCACAGGTGGCTGATGGCTATTGAATTGAACAGTGAGAGTGTGGAAGAAAAGCCACCTCACACATCTGAAGAGGAATTTGAGGACTCTGTCCTTGATAGGTCCTTAGAGAACACCTGTGGCCTGAGGAAGGGGGGGGGGGGGACTGGCCAGGGAGGAAAGAACACACGACGGGAAAGAAGATGTGGTTAGTGATGAAGGAGGGAGAGCAGGGCCATGCCATGTTCTTCTTCCAGAAAGGCGACCTTTGTGGTTTTCACTGCTGCAGACGGGCGGATGGAAGCAGAGCTGGCTGCTTTCTGAGCTGGCCAGTAGGAGCGACTTTGAGGGAGAGGAGAGGTTGACACCACTTTGCAGAAGTCTGTGGGTGGGGAAAGATGGCCGCTTTGGATCTGAGAAGATACTAGGGGTGGGAAAGTTTTTTGTTCATTTTTTAAAAATGAACACGGAAATGCACAATCTTTCATATGTCTCTGCTAATCTCCCACAAATGCTTTGCTCTTATTTTACTTAAGAGATTCAGGTCTTTTAAACTTCTTTTCATCTCCTGAAACTGTGTTCATTGCCTTCCTTTTCTCTAGTTCCTCTTTTAATAAGACTGGCCTACTTCTTTTGTCAAGGTTAGCTATGTTGATTGGCTCCTCCTTCCTTCTTAAGCTGACTTCAGGTCTCTCGGCTTCTCTCTGTACCAGGATCTCCTTTCTGTCCCTGCTAGCTCTCTCATGGTCTTTCTCACCCTCATGTTGGGGGCCTGGAACTTTCGACATGAAGGCAGCTAGGTCACTCAAAGCTCTTTTAGCTGCGTTAGCATCCCCGAGGGAATCTGGGCAGGGAATATACAGGTCTTTCTATTCTAGCCATTTTCTGACTATGTGCTTACTCCTCTATTCCCCCTCCATCCTATTGAGATCTAGCTCTTCACTTAGGTAAATTTACCTCCCCACACTTTTTTCATCCCTCCCTTTCCCTTCTGCTTCCTGCCTCCCTCCCTCCCTCCCTCCCTCCCTCCCTTCTAACCCAAAACTTTACACTTGCTAGTGCTCTCCTGCTGAGCCCGGTCCCAGGCCATGCTCTCCATCTTTTTCTATATGGTTTGACTATTTTTAACAAACCTTCTGCTTGTGCCTAAAAAGGTAAGTGACAGGCTACATAGGTAGTTTATTAGACTATATTCTATTTACTTTGCATCTGTTTAAAACTTTCCCACAGCACAGAGTTAAAAAACAAATAAATCACATGTGAAATAGCAAAAGAAAACTATGCCTGTATGACCATTTTGTTGTTCCTTTGCTGCCTCATATATGCCAGGATCTTCATTATTTTGTTTAATAGTCACTATTACTCTGAAGTGTCACACAAAGAGTAAATCAAGGTGTGAGGCTCCGAGTAGACTCCTCCAAGACCTTACTGGTAAGGGTACTGTGCCTTTGAAGCCTGAGGACCTCCTCTCTCCTGTTTGCATTCTTCCCAAAGGCCTGTGTTTTATCATACTCGCGTGGTGTTTTGCTTTTTAATATTTGTACTAAAGTCAGGCATTGTGGTCAAGAGGCTGACGCAAGAAAATTGCTGTGAGTTCCAGGCTACATAGTGAGTTCAAGGTCAGCCTAAACTACATAGTAGGACCCTGTCTCAAAAACAAAACAAGATATAACAAAAATTGCCTAAATACTGCAAATTAATGATTTTAAATCACCAAACCTATATTAAAGGCAATTGTATTCCAGAAAAACCACTCTAATGTACCGCTGTTGTCTTAGCAGTTCAAGGTGAAGTGCAAACTGATTGGAAGAAACATCCTATTCCACAGAGAAAGACAAGAGACATGGGTTATTTGCCAACAGGATTTTCTTCCATACAGAGCAACAGATATTGAAACTTACAAAATTCTGGATAACTTTGTCCTAAATTGTAGCTTGCATTTGTGATTAGTTTTCCTTCAAAGGCTGCCTCTACTCTTCAACTATGTCTTGTTTTCTTTTTCTTTTTATGCTTCTTCATAGGATTTTCACAATAAGAACGATAGAAATCATTTATACTGAATCTGATAGTGGCTTATGCCAATATCATTGCCAGACTGATGATTGAAAACATTGAAATATAAAGTAAAATCTTCACTGTAAGTTAGGTAGGTTTTTTTTTTTTTTTTGGTTTATGATATTACTTCATAATGAAACATTTTTATGGCTATACAATATTTTAAAGAATAAAATGTAGGATTATATGTACTTAGCATAAGCAAGGTCCTGAGTACCACCAAAAATAAAAAATAAATAAAATGCAGAGCAGCATGTTTAGATCACGGTGAATTTAACTTGTTGATGCCCAAATTAGTGAAATGCCACTGTCCTGGCATTGATTATAGCATGTAGAATCTAGACATTGTAGATAGATGATCGGACCAGCTTCTAACTTCTCTTTCATTCTGTCTTTTGAATGGTTTTAGTGACATTCTTGAAAGCTACTAGATAAGGACAGCATATAAAGGCTGATCCTTTCTTAGGACTTTCTTTCTCTATTGGTCCTCCAGGGACAGAGTGGTGATGGAGGGTGTGTCCTGACCTCATGTGATCTGTGGCATTTTGGGTTTCCATGACATGGTTACAAGTGTAGACACAATTTTTAATTTGCAAAGCTTAACTGCCCCAAAGGGATTTAAAGTTTGACTTCAGAAGAACCACAGAAACTGCTCATAGACTAGCCTCAAAACAATGAAAAATTCTAAGGGATTCATCAGACATTCATCAGACAATTCTAAGGGATTCATCAGACATTCATCAAAACAATGAAAAATTCTAAGGGATTCATCAGACAGTGGTCAGCAGAGTGATATTTGCATGCAAACTGACCCTATTTAAAAGAGAAAGCAGAGCACTGATGAAAATGGTGAGAATCTTTTTCACGATGCTATTAGTACAGAACAAAAAGGGAAGACATAAACTCTCATTAAAGAGGAATTCTGTCCACTCAGTGTCTTCAGCTAATGTGTAATTCTGTGTTTGGGCCCAATCTGTGCATGAACAATGTACATGTTGGTATTGGCAAGAAAGGGTTTCTAGGGTTCTTCCCAAAACAGCAGCCGTGAATGTGTGGGAACACTTGCTGATCAAGGGCATGGAAGGAAACATGAAATAATGTGCATGAATTTGAGCAGACTTCCTGCTCTCCCCTTGCCTTTCAAAAACAGTAATAATGAAAGCACATTATTGTTTTAAGGGGATTAGTTACTTCATGACAAAAATTAGTGATAAACCAGGTGTATGTTCCAGAGCAGATTTAGAAAATAATCTCACAGGCTCAAGTCCATACTTACCTCAGAGAAAGTGAGTGATCATTGAAGAGAGGGTTTTGAACTTTAAATGAGTCTTACTTGAGATGCTATGTAATAGCTATATTTTTTATAAATGTAGAAAAAAATTTATTGAAGTGCATGGCATGTGAAACAGTGAGAGAGTCAGAAAAGGGGACCACACTAGAGCTTAGAGGGCTACTAGAGGTTTTTATAGTAGGGTTTGGAGTGGTTCTGCTGTTGGCTGTTAGCAAATGCATCCTTGGTTGTGAAGGGCACCTGAGCACAGAGAGAGAGAGAGAGAGAGAGAGAGAGAGAGAGAGAGAGAGAGAGAGAGAGAGAAGCTTGGGAAAGCTTGTGTTTTAACATCTTGAAATGCTGGTCATTAGGCACAGTGCTGTAGTTCAAAGTATGAGAAGTGTTCTCATTGTATTACATCCATAGTGAAAACTGTTTTCATTGTCCTATTGCCCACAATTTGCTTCCTTCTTCTCGAAGATCAAAACTCTTCATTCTCTGATGTTCGAAGTCTTGAAGACCACTGTTTCATGTTTTATCATTTTTTTTTATTTTAAAGAGGACAAAAGAAAACAGAATAAAACAAAGCAAATCAGAACAGGAAAATGCAAGCAACACAGCATTTTATGTTATAGTTCTTGCCAGCCCATAATATACTTAGATGTATATATACACAGAGATATAATCAGTGTATTGCTTTTATTTGAAAATAAACTTTTAAAACCTGAAAACAATGCATAAGACAGACTGTGTTTTGAAATAAAAAACATGCATTTTTTTTTCTTTAATAGAATGTATATTCTTGCCCTCAAGTTTATAAAGGACAAGCATTTGGGCAGATAAGATCAAGGTTAGATAGAAAGTATGAATCTTGAATATTTAATATCTTGCAATATCTGACATAGTTTAGACGGTTGTGATGTAACATATCAGCTTGAAGTGCCAGGGATGATGATTAAAAAATACCTGAGTAAAGATCTCTATGAAAAGACATGTATACATTCTGACTGGGAAACTCGTTTAATGCCACCAAATAACTACAAATGGCAGTCTCTGAACATGGCACTTTCCATCTTTAGGTATAATTGCTTAAGGGGAAGGATGTAGGTTTCATCTTCATTACCTGTGAGATAAGGAGTAGTGATTGTAAGATCTCATTCCCTCTTGAGTGTCACCTTGTGTTATTTCCAGCGTCTGGGACAAAATGTGTGGTATCCACAAGTTAACAGAGGAGAGGTTTATTTTGGCTCAACGTTTTCAGATGATTCAATCCATAATTATCTTGCTCCAGAGGTATAAACATCATGGCAGAGAAGCATGGTGGAGGAAAGCTGGTCACCCCATGGCTGCCAGAAAACAAAAAGAAAAGGTAGAGTCAGGGACAAGATACACCTTTCCAGGTCATGTCCAGTGTTATCCACCTCCAGCCAGGTCCAACCTTCTAACAGCACATTCAGGTACTGGACTCATCACTGGTTGAATCCACTGATGGATACAGTGCCCCCATGATCCAATCATCTTCCAAACACATGTGACTTTTAGATCTAAATCATAACATTTTACCCCTGGTTTCCAAAAGACTCACATTGATCTCACTATGCAAATGCATTTTACGCATCTCTAAGACTCACCAAACTCATTTCCAGCACTGTTTAAAAGTCTAAATCCAAAGTCTCCTCTGAGACCCAACACAAACTCTTAGCTATGAGTCCCTGTAAAAATCAAAGCCAAAATGAAATACTTCTAGCATACAATGACATGGAGCAGTCATTCCTATTTCAAAAGAGAGAAATAAGGAACTAGAAGAGCATCAGGACAAACATTAAATTTTGTAGCACCGAGACAGGTTGTGTGAGATGTAAACTCCAAAGGGCTTGTGTGGCCTCGGCTCTACTGCTGATCATAAGGCTTTATGGCCTCTCTCTTGAGTGGGCCTCTGACCAGCCCTACGAAATTTGGCAGGATCTACCAGGGAACCATGGCAAAATGAATGATGTGGAACCGAATTTTTAGGTTCTCACACAGAAGCTTAGAGGCTCTCTTTTCAAAGAAATGTTTACATTTTCTCACCTCTGAGCCTGGGATAAGGTTAGCATTTTGCTGATTTTCAAGATGCCTTTTTTCCTACTGTCCTGATGCAAAGTACTTGATTTTTTAAAAAATGCCTATCTTTTGAGCAGTAACACTCTCCTTGGTCTCATCTTTGCAGGTTCCTTCTTTCTGGAAAAACTGTAATTTTTTTCAAATAACTAACTATCCTTTTTTGCCATCTTACTGTAGATGTGTTTAAATTAGGAAGCATCATGTCTTAGCCTGATGTTGGGCTGCCTCGAAATTTCTTTTAGCAGATAAATTAGTCTGCCATCTTTAAATTCACTTCAGACGAAGTCTTAGCATGTGGATAAAATGTAGACAAGCTTTTTGGCGGAGTCAAACACACCAGGCCTCTGGCCCAATTGCCAGCAGTGTCCTCATTCCCAACTGAAACTTCATGACCCTGGCCTTTACTATTTTTATTCCTATCAGCATCCTGGTCTTCTGAGATATGACCAGACTCTCTCATCAACCTCTGCTTACACAGAGGCTTCTCTAGGGATTCTCGAGATGGCATCTTTAAAACTGTGCAGACTCCTCGAACAAACAAATTACAAAGGCTTTTGAACCATACGGTCAAAGGACAGTCACAGCTTCACTGGGACAAAGATAGCTGACACTCATAACTTATTGGAGGAGAAGTTTAGTTTGGCTCACAGTTTTCAGAGATTAAGTTTATGGTTGGTTAGCTCCAAGGCAGACAGGCATGATAGAGGAACACTGCTCACTCCATGGTAGCTAGGAAGCAGCAGGTGAAGGGAGGTATTTAGGAAGGAGAATACACCTTTCCAGCTTACACCTATAGTGACCCGCCTTCAACCAAGCCCCACTTCTTTTTTTTTTTTTTTACTTTTATCGGTACCGGGGATCGAACTTGCCACCACACGCAAGACAAACCGCTTATGCCGCTGAGCTAAATCCCCAGCCAAGCCCCACCTTCTTAAAGTGCTTTCAGCTACTGAACTCATCAATGGATGAATCCCCTGATAGGTATAGTACTCCCATGATTCTGTCACTTCCCACACTCATGAGACTTTGTTGAGGGAGTACATTTTAGATCTAAACTCTAACATATCTCCTCTTTGCAGTGACCTTCATAGAATCATACTGCTGTCAGCTCAGTGGATAGGTTCATCAGCTTGGTTGTGCTCACTGGTCATCTACTATATCTGACAGTTGATTCAGCTCTCAAAGGGAGAACTGAGGGGGCAGTTGTGGAATGATGGTGATGGAGAGAATTGGGGGGATAATAAGCCCTTGACCTCACATAGCTGCAGGAACATGATGTCCACAACCGGTGCTCCACTTCCAGCATCCTTTCACATGGATCATCTCACAGCATCCCAGCTGACAAGACCTCCTTGCAGTCTTGTTGCCCTTCAGCAAGTTTGCCACACCACAGCAAAATAGGCTTTTAAAACATACATAATTCACGGAGCCTTTCTTCCACTTAAAACCTTCAGAAATTCCCTATGGCCTGAGAGATTCTCGTGGGCTGGCCTCTGATTGCTGCATCTCTCTCCATATCCACCAATTCTCTGGTCTCATCTTCACTGACCTTCCTGAAACCCCCTGAATACTTCCTTTTTTATGGAGAATTGGGAGCCATTTTAAATTGGAAATCATTCTACATTATGCAAATGATTTGAGGAAAAGACATCAGATGTCCTTCATTCCAGGTTGACTGATGAGGACAATGTATTGATATTTGTCCCACTTTATTTTTAACTTTGTTTCCACAAAGAGTGAAGGTCATTAGGCAGGAAAGCAGTTCTCCACAAAAACACATACAGTTACGCCAGTGCTTAGAAGCATATCCCATTATTTGTTAGAACTTCCTGGCATGTTTTTATTAGGGTGCATGGGAGAGGACTTCCGTTCTGTCCAGGTGTTTGGAGAGTTTTATCTTTTGCCATGCCTTTATTTCTCCCATTGGGGAATCTTATAATGCATGCTCATGATTCATGTTGTAAATACAAAACAAGCATACAGATGTCATCATGTTCTGATTTAGTAATGAACCAGAGTTCAAACATCAGGCAAAACATGACAACATAATTCTATTATTTAATACTTTAAATGATTAATTCACACATATGGTTGAAAGGTTAGAAAAGGTTATAATATATGCAAGTATGATATGTGTATATTCTCTTTGTTCTCTACATAATGGAAATATATAATTGCACTATTGTGAAATTGGTTTTTTTTTTTGTTGTATTCTATTGTTTTGCACTAAGCTTTGAATCTGCGCCCTTCACACTGAACTACATCCCTCACCCCTTAAATTTTTTTTAAATTTTGAGACATGACCTTGCTCAATTGCCCAGTTTGGGTGCAAACTTGTGATCTTCCAGCCTCAGCCTCCCAGACTCCATATTACATGCATGCACCATCATACCTATGGTGGAACTGGACTATTTTCTTTTTTTTTTTTTTTTTACTAGTACATATTTGTGGTACATAATGAATACATTCATCACTAGGAGTCGGTACGTATCACATCTTAGGCCTTTTTTCAGATATCAGGTGTGTCTTAGAAATCTTTCCCTATTAGAATGTATGGAAATTTTACATCCTTTTGCATGGTAGAATATACAGTAGTCATATATATTCCAGTCTCCTCTTGATGGATATTTAAGCTATACTCAGATTTTTACTGTCATAACCAACACTGCACGATCACATTATGCAGGTATGTTATCATGCATGCAAAAGAATTTCTCTTGGTTAAACTCTCAGAAGTGTAACCAATGAGCTAAAATTATGTACATTTATACTAGAGTGTGCTAAATTGCCCTTACTGGGTCATTTTTTTCACACTTGCTGACATAATACATCCATTGTTTTATCAATCTGATGTTATAATTTTTCTGCCAGTCTGAAAGGTGAAATGAACATCTCTTGCTAGTTTTGATTTATATCTTTTTCATGAATGAGATTGAACATATCTTCATTATTTTTAGAGATTTTATATTTTCTTAAATTTTAATAGTATGTTCTTATTCTTTGCTCTTTCTTCTATTGAATTGTTGGTGTTTTTTAGTTAATAAGTGCTCTTGATGTAGTAGTTATTTCATTGTCATATATGCTATAAATCAAATATTTTATGTAATTATTTTTATTTTAACTTTGCTTTTGGAAAATTTTCAGAATTTATAATTACTATTATGATTCAGATATCCATCTTTTATGGTTTTTGATGTGGGTCAAAATGAGAAAGAAATCCCTTTGCATTCTTAGATTATGAGAAACATCTTTCAAATTATCTTCTAGCTTCCTCCCTCCAAAGTGGTCCCATTTAAATATTACTCTATCTAGGATTCAGCTTGGTTTAAATTATGCCACTTTTTTGTAGATGGTAGTTGTAGGAGTCATGGCTGTGTCAGGAAAACAGAAGGCTCACTAGGTATGTATTTCAAATAGAAAGAACTTAGTAGTAGGATTTGATCACACAGATATTAGAAGGCTGAAGAAGTGAAAGAATGGTCAGTTACCCAGACATGAGCAACTTAGGAGAAACTGAGTAAAATCATGAAGAAAATGCATTTAGACAAAAGGGATAAGAGGTCAAAGAACTGAGCCTTGGGAATTCCAGCATGGGAGGTGGGAAAATGCAGAAGCAATCATGGGAATCAGCGAAGGTGAGGAAGAATGAGCGGTTTGAGAGGCAGAACGGGAATGAACAAAGGAAGGTGTCTTAGAGCCAACATGAACTTTTCAAGGTGGAGAGAAAGACAAAAAGTGTTAGCTGCTGCTGATGGATCAAGAGAAATGCAGAACGGAAACCAACCTTTAGGTTTGGCAACAGAATGCCCCTGGTTTGCCTTGATAAGAGGCTCAAGAGGAGTGCTAACAGCAGAAACGTGACTGGAGGGGACTCTGTAAATCCCACTCAATGGAGAAGAGACAGTTCTAGAGATAATAAAGCTACTGGATTGATGAATTTTGTCATAAGAAAAGAAATGAAATGGGGTTATGGAGGAAGTAAAGTCAAGAGAAGATCTTGTTATGACATTTACTTGCTGAGAAGATTGATGTGGTGTGGAGAGACCCAATAAGGAAGGGTGAAAGCTTACAGCAATGTCTTAAGTATTCCTCAGAGGATGGGATTGAGTGGACAAGATGAAGAGTTAGCATTAACTAGAGGCACATGTCGTTCACTTCTAGTAACACAAGGAGGTTACATATGGACTAAGATGCCTTGGGTATATGGAGAGGGCGGGAGACTGGAAATTCATCCCTGATTGTT